TTGCCTCTGGAGTTCCCTGCTCTCTGGCCTGGCGCTTTCGATTTTAAGGCCGTATCGCCGACGCCGTCTGGGCATTCCATACGCAAGGGCAAAGGCGCAGCCGGCTCCGGCTCCAGTTGTGCATCAGCATCAGCATCAGCATACAGCATCAGCATCAGCATCTTCTCCTCCCCGTCGCGTCCAACACTGCCCATTTGGTTCCAGCTGCTAATAATATCACGACCAGGCCTAGAAGCTGTGTTCCCGACCACCAGCGGTATCCACTGCATCTGTAGGCCCGTTCGTTCGATCTGGCAGGGAACGCCTCAATCCTCGAAAAAAAAAAAAAAAAAACACCGACGTCATCAAGCCCGAACGCCGCGCCCAGGTTTTTCGCCTATTTCTTTCTGCCGCTCGGTGACTCGTCTGGCCATTGATCATAGCGCCGAGGCGTTCGCCCTGAAATTGGTACAAGACGGAGGCATTCACCATTCCTCCATCTGCCGCCTTCTCTGTTCTTGGACGACTGTTCCACCCCCCCTAGGATCAGTCACCCAACCCCAGAGAAGTTGGGGGGCAAGAAAAAAAAAATTGATTATAGGTAGGTACATTCATACGCCATCGCTTTCTTAGCATCAATTCTTCCAAACCTATCTCGCATCAACCCTGCCCGTGCACGAGCCGTATACCGTGCGCCTGCATACTTTTCAAACATTCAGAAGCCGCATCGGTTCCAGACCCAAAACGGTCGGCAACTGAGACGAAGCGCACCAGCCTGACCCCACGCTGCCACGCGACATTTGAGACACTCGTCACCGCAACCGTAGCTGCGACCGGCTCATCCCAGCTGAAGTCCATCTCGACATCTCGAGCAATCGCCGCCGTCGCCATCGCTGCCTCAGTGTCCTCAACGACTCAATCGCCAAACCACCCCCCGCGCGATGGGTAACCAGGCCTCCAAAGAAGGCAGCGGTCCCTCCACGGGCAAGGGCTCCGGCTCTGATGGCCCTCTACAGTCTTACCCCTCCATGAGCAGGTCCGATACCAAGGAATCGTCTCGATCCTTCCGCTCTCTCCGATCCAAGATCCCGGGCAGCAGCAGCAGCAAGTCCATAAGCAACACTGACAGCCCCAGGAATTCGGCTTTGCTTCCCAACGGCGAGTCCAATGGCGACAAAACGATTGATGCTGCGTCAGTTCGGTCCGGCCGCAGCGGTCGTTCCAGCGCTTCTAGAAACAGCCGCGGTGACTTGCCCAACTTGAAGCACAACTCTACAGATTTGTCGTCGACCGACCCGGCCATCTTCGAAGATCAGCCGCCCCCGTCTCCCGTATTGTCGAGCGCAAAGGGCGCTGCTCACGACGTCGCTGCCGCTCAGGCCTCGGGCGAAGTCGACCATGTCTCCGACCAGCCTCCCACTGCAAGCAATGCCAGTGCCACTGCGCACATGCTATCACCAGGACAGCCGATTCTAGTGAAGCGAGACAACCCGGTTAACAATATTCAGAACTCACCTTCCATGGACTCCACGACCAAGGTTGAATCTAACGGCAACATGGCCATGTCGGAGATTAAGGATATGGACCTTGATGACTACATTAAGCGCCTTCTAGACGCAGGCTATGCCGGCAAGGTGACCAAGAGCGCGTGTCTGAAGAATGCAGAAATTGTTGCCATTTGCCAGCGAGCTCGCGAAGTTTTTCTCTCTCAGCCAGCATTACTGGAACTCGATGCGCCAGTCAAGATTGTTGGAGATGTCCACGGCCAATATACGGATCTCATCCGCATGTTTGAAATGTGTGGCTTTCCGCCCATGGCAAACTACCTTTTCCTGGGAGACTACGTCGACCGCGGCAAGATGTCGCTGGAGACCATCTTGCTGCTGCTCTGCTACAAGCTCAAGTTTCCCGAAAATTTCTTTTTGCTCCGCGGGAATCACGAGTGCGCCAACGTGACACGAGTGTATGGGTTCTATGATGAGTGCAAACGACGGTGCAACGTCAAGATTTGGAAGACCTTTATCGACTGCTTCAACACGCTACCCATTGCGGCCATTGTAGCAGGCAAAATTTTCTGCGTGCATGGTGGGCTTTCACCCGCTCTTAGTCACATGGACGACATTCGAAATATTGCTCGGCCGACCGATGTTCCCGACTACGGTTTGCTCAACGATTTGCTGTGGTCTGACCCCGCAGACATGGAACAGGATTGGGAAGCAAATGAAAGAGGCGTGAGTTATTGTTTCGGCAAACGCGTCATTACCGACTTTTTGGCCGTACACGATTTTGACCTCATATGCCGAGCACACATGGTTGTTGAAGACGGCTATGAATTTTTCAATGACAGGGTCTTGGTTACCGTGTTTAGCGCGCCAAATGTGAGTTGGCACTTTTTGATTGTGCATGTGTATTATTGGCTATGTACTAACCAGATTCTGCAGTACTGTGGTGAATTTGATAATTGGGGAGCTGTCATGTCTGTATCTTCTGAGCTACTTTGTAGTTTTGAGCTCCTGAAACCGCTGGATTCAAGCGCTCTCAAGAGTCACATCAAAAAGGGACGTAACAAGCGACAGCAGATGCTCAACAGTCCTGTAAGTTTTTGTTTATCCCCCTCTCTCCTTTTGTTTTTCTATAAGGAAAGTATTCGGCTAATTTTGCAACAGCCTGCCAGCGTACAGCCTCAAAGTGTGTAGTCGTCCCCTCACCATGGACGTACAACAAGTGTGTGCCACCGTGCTTTACATATTTCAATGAAGGGCATGGACTGCTTCGCAGTCATTGGCGCATTAGTTGGGTGTCCAGTATTCTGCTGTGCTCTGAGATTGACACACAGTTACCAATGGCCCGACAACCGCATGGGAAGCAGTCGTAAAATTTATTCGACAAGAGAAGCGAAGAATCCTTATATGTGGGAGTAATATCCATACAGTGGGCGGCATCCCGTTGCTTCTATCCTGGCGTTTGATTATGAGGCTTCGGGCCTCGGATCTGGAACGATCCGGGATTTTTCCGCCTTGATTTTGTCAGCCTCCGTGTTTATTTTTGATGACGATCCCGAGCGAACAAACACAAGCCGGGGACCCGGCTTTTGAAGTGTGCGATTGATACGAGAACCGAATGAATTGAGATGGGGTCCAGACTTTTGACCATGAAGATTAGACCATTTTTATATTTTTTTGGGGACATTGAAAGAATAGGAGGCCTCGCAACCCGGCCCTTGGTTGTACGATTTTTATCCATTTGGTATTTGCCTGACGATGGGACAGGCACTGGTCGCATTTACATTGAAAGAGGTGGAATCCGCAGTGGTTGGCCTTTGCAAGAAGCGCTGCTCGCAGTGAGGAGTTTGGAGTTAGACGTTGCTTAGGTCTCACATGATATTTGTAACTGGATGATCCAGCAGCAGCCTCATAATATACATGGACATGAATTTGCATAATTTTGCCTGCCTGGCTGTGTTGTTGGAAACAAAGATGCGCTTCATGTACAGCTACCCCATTGCATCCAGAGGTTGGGGTTGGAATGAGACACATTTGACCGCTTACCTAATCGGGTAACCGCGCAGAAAATTGTCCCTGAGCATCAAGCTCCCTCTCGACGCAATCATCTTCAAGATAATCTCCCTCAAAACGCACACCCACCCAAGCCACCATGAACCCCATAGCCTTCCGCTCGGTGTGCGCCCGAGCAAGGCCCGAGGTCGAGCGGACAGGCTACGCACTGAAAAACTACTTTCGCGACTTTTCCACGTCCCAATCGCTCGCGGCAGACGAGGCCTCCACGCCGACCCCCCCATCACAGCCGTCGGTCCGCCAACGAACGAGAGACGCCGCCAGCGAAATCAGTTCCCTCGCGAAAAGGGGCCGCGGAGGCTCAAGGGGTGGCTTCAGAGGCGGCGGCAGCACCCTTGGCCAGCGGCAGGCTGCCCAACTGCCAGCCGGATCTGCATCTACCCCCAAGGTCATTGACGTCAAGAGCCTGCCCAAGGGGCTGTCGCGAGGACGCGGCGGCTTCCGCGGGAGGGGAGCAGGGCAGGTCGGTGCCGTGCCGTCGCAGGGGCAGCCCCATCGCGCGCAGTCGCCCGCCGGCAACAGGTTCTCTCGGCCCTCTGGCGGGAGGGGATCTGCTCTCCGCGGCGGGCGGCGCGGCGGCCGTGGGAGAGGAGCGGCCAGAGGAGCGGCCAGAGGCGCGGCCAGAGGCCAGGACGACGACAAGGACAAGCAGAAGAAGTTTGGCAAGCGCGAGGACCCGTTCGAGGCCATGGACCCGTATGAGGAGCAGTTCGACAGGGACATGCGGTTCGGCGTGGCGACGGCCTACACGCCGTCCCTGACGCTGGAGTCGCTGGCGCCCTTTGCGCCGGCCACGCCTACGAGCGCCGCCGGCAGACGGGCCACCGTGCTGGGTAACCTGAGCGCGCTGGGCACGGCGGACCCCGTGGGCGTGCCGCAGGACTTGCAGGCCCGTAGCTATGCGGAGGACTTGGAGAGCGAGGGAGTGCGGTTCTTTGCCGACGCCAAGGCGAGGGAGGCTGCGGAGCGCTACCTCCAGGAAAAGAGAGCCGAGGCCAAGGGAGAGGGCGAGGGCGAGGGCGTGATTATCCGTGATGCGGAGGAGAGTGTGCGGAGCGTCGTCTTGGACAAGGCTGTGCGCGGCGAGCATGAGAAGATGGTGTTCAAGGAAGGGCCGGTTGGCGTCGCGAGGAATTGGCATTTGAGGGCGGAGACGTACACGGGCAAGGACGTGGAGAGCTTTGAGAAGAAGTTGAATTCGCTGGTGGGCAGGGGTGCTGGCAAGAAGGGGGAGGAGAAGGCCGCGGCCACGGCGTAGGGGGATTCGCATCGTGACTGTACATCAGTGTGTATTATATAAATCATGGGGCTGGAAGCATTTCACAAGCTGTCCCGCGTGGCTAGCACGGCTTTACATCACCAAAAAGGGCAAGGTTTTCCACAATCATCTACATCTACATGTACACAGTACAGTACCAATCGTACACGTCCCCGCCCGTTCGGCTCCTAGTTCCGATCCAGCCCCTTGATGGCGGCGCTCTCCTCGCCGTCAATCTCCTTCATCTTGGCGTCCTGCAGCTTCTGCAGCTCCCTCTCGGCCCTCCTCACCACGTCCCTGAGCACGGTCCCGTCCTTCTGCCACCCCTTGAGCACCTTGTCGTGCCTGGTCCTCGCCTGGCGCACCTTGTCCCTCCACGCGTGCGTCGTCTCCCTGATGCGCCGCACCAGCTCCTCCTTCCTCTCCAGCTCCACCTTGAGCAGCAGCTCGAGGTCGTTGTCGTCGGACCGCTGCGGCTGCTGGTTGAACTCGCGGCTGGACTGGACCGCGCTCATGATGGGCTTGATGTACTCCCTGTCGTTGACGAGGAGCGAGATGGTGCGGTTGGTCCGCGGCACCACCTGCGCCAGCTCGCCCAGCGGGAACGTCGACGCCTCGCCCGACGCGGACTTGACTGCGATGGGGAGCCCGCCCAGCGCCGACGGGTTGAACCGTCCGCCGTGGAGGATCGTCTGGAGCGCCGACTTGTAGTACGTGTCCTGGGGCGCGAGCGAGGCCACGAGCGAGGAGAAGTCGAGCGGGTCTTCGGGGTTGGGGGACGACGACGACGACGACGACGACGACGACGACGACGACGACGACGACGACGACGACGACGACGACGACGACGACGACGACGACGACGACGACGACGACGAAGAGGGTGGGGGCGGAGCTTGTGTGCGTGGGGGCGAGTTGCTTGCTGCTGCGATTTTGCGCTTTTTGAGGACCGGCACCGAGGTGCGGAATGGGCGTCTGGTCAGGATGGGTTTTCTGGCGGCGTCGTGTATTAGAGACGTTGTCGGCTGGGGAGGAGGGAGGCTTACGCTTCAATTGAGACCGTGACGCGGATTGCTCGCCGCAGGAGCAGCTGAGTTGAGCCGGGCAGCGCCATGATGAGTTGACGCGAGGTTGTGATTGCTTGTGGTGTTTGATGTGCGATGGAGGTGAGGTTGTGTTTGGCGATAAGATAAGCGGAGCTACCGGCGGAGCTCTGGCGGCTTCCGGTTCATGTTCCCGGGCGCAAAGCTATTGAATGACGTTGGATGGCCGGTGCTTGCTACATTATTCCGGGAAGGGGCGTTGCACCTCGATCCTGCCGAATGCGAACAACCGGTCGTTGTCGTTGCTGGGTGCAGTCGAGAGGCAGACTTGTTTAGCCGCCAATCCGCCAACCCGCCAACAAGCGCAACCTCCTTTCTTCCAGCCCGAATCTTAACATACATCTACATATATTAAAGGTATAAAATCGAATACAATGCTCTCTATTCACTTTTACAAAAGGTATTTTGGAGGCCAAATTTCAAGTAAAACCTTGCCAAGATAATACAAAAGTTTAACTAAACAGATTAGTATAATTAGTATAGGGTGCCGCTATTTGGGTGGCTTGCTCCTTCCCTATGGTCAGGCACACGCCGGCTTGACTTGTCAACACTCCAAAACAGTCTAAACAAGCAAGAAAAAAAAAGGGTCAGAAATTAAGGCTGTAAAGCAAAAATCTAATGCCTTGTTCGCACCAGGGATCGAACCTGGGACCTCCTGTGTCCTACATGTCCTGAGGATAGTGTAAGACAGGCGCGATAAACCACTACGCTATGCGGACAGGGGTATGAAAGTGGCAAACTTATTTACCTATATGTAGGGCTATAGGCGGCCAGGAGCCTCCCGGCTCTTTGAGACAACATTCTAGGTCTATTAGTGTCTCTATAGACTGATAATTGGCTTAAAGATTATGATCATCGAATATATAGGTAGATAATTCACTTTATTTAGTATATTGGCCCCTGCTTTATATCCAGAAACAGAGGTGTATGAAGAGGCAGGTTCTCAATCCACCAGAGCCACTAGGTCAGATCTACCTTCCAAGTGTACTGTGAGTCTGTGACGACTAAAATAGAAGGAACAAGTGATACTAGACGTTTGTTATTTGTAATAACAATGGGTGCTAGGAAGCTCTGTGTGAAGGGGTCAGGTCCAGCCTGCTGGCTAGGGCCGCTTACAAATATGACTTCATTGACCAATTTGGGGACGCAAGAACTAGTATCTATTAACATCTCCAATAGCATCATGAGCCTAAACGACCTCTAAGCCCCGAACTAGATTCTCGAGTATACCAACACGGCTGGAGCACATAAATGCCATGATGTGATGTCTTACAGAACGTCAAGTATACCAGCTCCCTGGCTAAAGCAAACACTTGTGCCTTGTAGCATACGATCGTACAAGATGTTAAGGTCGGGTAATTGACCTTGATACTTGAACCAGACAAAGTAGGCTGATGCCAATTTAGCTAGACCAAACATGGAGACACTCGTATTGCTCTACATAATTCTTCGATACCCGGGTAGTCAATCCTCGGCAGCTCTCTGCTAATGTCGCCCCAGCATCGGGTTATGCAAAACCCCGACCAAAGACTGTGCGTAGTTCATAATACCCTCTCTGTTACTGGGCGAGGAAAGTAAGTTCGTCTAAATCTTCGTTGGTAGCTCCTTGCCAATCGAGGACCCTTTACTCATCAGCAGGTTCTTCCCTTGGGCCGACAATGTTTAATGGCACGTCGTTCCAGGCTTGACAGCTGGCCGCAAATCTGCTAGTGGAATTTCTCATCTCGTCTTTTTTTTTTTTTGCCTCGTCGAATTTGAACAGCCTTGGCTGATACCTGCTCTGGATCTGATATGGATGCTCCAGAAGCCGATGCCCCCTTAGTTGTCTGAGCCACATGTCCCCAAGAATCCCTCTCTCTAGACGATTGATAGTCATGCCTGGTCTTAATGATGACCCAAGGCCGCACCTGCTCTCGGCAGCTGGGACCGCCTTCCAAGGAGGAACCTCGGCAGGAGCTTTGGCTGGAGCGCTTTGTATCCGCTGGATAGCTCCTTCCTTAACAGCGAGACAAACGTTTCAAGCCAAAAAGTAATAATAACGGGAACCCAGAAAATGATCTAATCAAGAACCGTGGAACGACGGCAAGCCGAAATGAAGCATGCTCTACGGGGATGAGAATGCCATGTCACGAGGCAGCAGGCAGGGCCATGTATTTGTGCTGTTCTGCGCAAACTGATTTCGCAATGTGATTCCGAGATTATATATTACATTGTTGTATACTAGAGCAAGATTTTTCCATCTAGCAAAAACAAAGTTTCATGCTCGAGCTATTACCTGGGCTTTTATCTGAGCGATTGACCAGAAAGGAGAATTGTGTTGGCGGTCAATTAAGAGAACCACGTAAGCTATATCTATAAATGCAATCGAGGCAATTTATTTAAAAATAATCATCAGTGGACGTTTTACGGCACACATTGTCAGTCATGGGCATGGCAGTACATGTACTTAATGGTAGGCAGGTACCTATACCTACCTAGGTAGGTATAGGTACCTGCCTACCATTAAGTACATGTACTGCCATGCCCATGACTGACAATGTGTGCCGTAAAACGTCCACTGATGATTATTTTTAAAATAATTGCCTCGATTGCATTTATAGATATAGCTTACGTGGTTCTCTTAATTGACCGCCAACACAATTCTCCTTTCTGGTCAATCGCTCAGATAAAAGCCCAGGTAATAGCTCGAGCATGAAACTTTGTTTTTGCTAGATGGAAAAATCTTGCTCTAGTATACAACAATGTAATATATAATCTCGGAATCACATTGCGAAATCAGTTTGGGCTTGCTGAATATTTCTTTTCACGGGCCCTTCACCGCGTCTACCGGATAGCCGAGGCGCTGGAAGTCGGCATGGTTGGCGTCAACACGGGCATCATCTCGGACCCCGCATCTCCATTTGGCGGTGTCAAGGAGAGTGGTTTCGGTCGTGAGGGTTCCAAGTATGGCATTGCCGAGTACCAGGTGACCAAGATGATTACCTTTGGAGGAATGGGATCGCCGTTACAGAGCTAGGCGGAGTGCATATGAATGTAGAATGCCTCGATGGCAAAAGGATCACCAAGTACGAGAAAATATGAAGTATGAAATACATGGCGAATGCATAACATTTTATGATGACTCAACACACTATGAGCGGTGAAAAGGTTAGCCAACCGAAATATAAACGCCAGATGTATGAATTACCATGATTCAGTGAAGGCCTTGTATAAAATGTGTATAACGGGGACTAAAAATGTGAGAGACGGTGATCGAGCAAGCGAGAGCTGAGATGACACAAGAACTCGGGATGCAATGAACAAGCGCATTGCAAAGATATGGCTAGTGAAAGAGGAGATGGAGAATCGCAAGCTATGTCTAGGTACCTATACCTACCTAGGTAGGTATAGGTACCTAGACATAGCTTGCGATTCTCCATCTCCTCTTTCACTAGCCATATCTTTGCAATGCGCTTGTTCATTGCATCCCGAGTTCTTGTGTCATCTCAGCTCTCGCTTGCTCGATCACCGTCTCTCACATTTTTAGTCCCCGTTATACACATTTTATACAAGGCCTTCACTGAATCATGGTAATTCATACATCTGGCGTTTATATTTCGGTTGGCTAACCTTTTCACCGCTCATAGTGTGTTGAGTCATCATAAAATGTTATGCATTCGCCATGTATTTCATACTTCATATTTTCTCGTACTTGGTGATCCTTTTGCCATCGAGGCATTCTACATTCATATGCACTCCGCCTAGCTCTGTAACGGCGATCCCATTCCTCCAAAGGTAATCATCTTGGTCACCTGGTACTCGGCAATGCCATACTTGGAACCCTCACGACCGAAACCACTCTCCTTGACACCGCCAAATGGAGATGCGGGGTCCGAGATGATGCCCGTGTTGACGCCAACCATGCCGACTTCCAGCGCCTCGGCTATCCGGTAGACGCGGTGAAGGTCCCGTGAAAAGAAATATCCAGCAAGCCCAACTTCGACCTTGTTCGCCATCTCGACAACCTCGGCTTCCGTCTTGAATGGGAACAGTCCAGCAACGGGGCCGAAAGTCTCCTCTGTAGCCATGACCATGTCGGGTGTCATGTCACGGATAACTGTTGGCTGGAAGAAGTTGGCTCCCAGATCGGGCATCTTCTGACCGCCAGCGACAATCTTGCCACCTTTGGATTGGGCGTCCTTGATGTGAGCCTCGACCTTGCTGACGGCGCGGTCGTGGATGAGAGGTCCGTGGGTAGTGCCGGCTTCGAAACCATTGCCGACCTTGAACGCATTTACCTTTTCCGTAAACTTCTTAACGAATTCGTCGTAGACGCCCTCCTGGACGTATATTCGGTTGGCGCAAACACAGGTTTGACCGGTGCCGCGGAACTTGGAGGCAATGGCGCCGGCGACAGCGGTGCCGAGGTCAGCGTCGTCGAAAACGATGAAGGGAGCGTTACCGCCGAGCTCCAGAGACAGCTTCTTGAGGGTACCAGACGACTGCTTCATGAGGAGCCTGCCCACACCGGTAGAACCGGTGAATGACACTTTCTTGACGGTGGGGTCAGTGGTGAGGACCTCGCCGACCTCTGGGGTGTTGGAGAGAGTGGTAACGACGTTGACGACGCCCTTGGGAATACCTGCTCGGTGACCAAGTTCAGCGACAGCCAGTGCAGTGTATGGAGTCTCGCCGGGAGCTTTGCAAACGACGGTGCAGCCGGCAGCCAGTGCAGGGGCGACCTTTCGAGTGATCATGGCAGCAGGAAAGTTCCATCTATTCCACTCGTCATTAAAGTGCAGCAAAAACCAGCTCGCGGGGATTCTTACGGAGTAATCAGCCCACACACGCCAACAGGTTCCTTTATCGTCCATACTCTGTTGCCAGGCACAGTGGCAGGAATAGTATCGCCGTAGGTCCGGGGAGCTTCCTCGCTGAACCACTCGAAAAAGTTGGCAGCATAAGCCGCCTCGCCTTTGGCCTCGGCAACGGGCTTTCCGTTCTCCCAGGTGATGAGCTTGGCGATATCATCAGCATTCTCCACCATCAAGTCGTACCACTTGCGAAGCATCTTGGCACGCTCACGGCCCGTCAGGCTGCGAAAGGCAGGGAAAGCATCAGCAGCAGCCTTGATGGCTAGCTTGGTGTCCTCGGCGTCGCACTCGGCGCAGGTACCAATCAAGGTGCCAGTAGACGGATCTGCACACAGGAGCGTCATCAGAAACTCGGCTACTCCGACAACAGCGCAGAGAGTGCATGAGGAAATGCATACCATTGACCTTGAATGTCTTGCCAGACTTGGCAGCCCTCCATTCACCATTGATATAAGCAACATTTTGCTTCAGCAACGACGGATCTCTCAACTGCACGGCATGGTTAGTATAAAAGGTCTTTGTTTACGTCATAGCCGCCGACGATGCATCATACCTGAGGAGGCATGGTGGACGCCCGTCTAGCAAGAATCAATGAGACACTCGGGGAAAAGCGCAACTTGGACGTCGGAGCTGCAAGTCTCTGGAACAACGCCATTGGGGAGGACCGGCCACAAAAGAGCTCCGTCTGTTTGTCAGGAGCTCACCAGCTTCCAACAGCAGCAGCAGAGAAGAAACTCCACAAGGTCCCGTGTAGCTTCTGGTGACTGAGTCTGTGCCCTGTTGGCTGCAGACCCTTGAAGCGCTCAGGACTTTGAGCAAGCGGAAGTGTAAGTGCAAGTAGAAGTGTAAGTGTAGAAGAAAGAAAAGCCAATGGCGGTCGGAAACCGGTGGGGGAAGCTATGTCTTTACCGGCTCTGTCGGGTCGGGGTCGACGCACTGTGAATATGCGGGGAAAGCTGGGGGACAATTGTCTTGGTTTCGGGGTCAACGGACCTGGTGCCACATATGACCAGGCAACGTCCAGCCAGCACTCCACAGTAAGTTTTTCGTCCCACGGCACAGCGCCATGTCCACTGCCATTCCCCCCTGCCAGAGGGTTCGGACCGGTTCACGCGAAGTCGGAGCGGCAATGGCTCGCGGTCCACGGACGCCGGTGGGGTCGGTGCCGCGGAGGCGCGGTCACGATGCCGTTGGTGGCGCTAGGGGAAGCTGTTACGTGCTTTTTGGTGGTGGCTTGATTGATCTGGGGCAGCATCGGAGGTGGGCCAAGTTTTGATCCCATCACTTCCACATGACTTGGCCCAGCTTGAAGCAGGAGTAACAACGAATGCAATCCCTGATTTCTCATCATCCAACAGCTCCGTGTCCTACGGGCCTCGACAGTGATCTACGAACAAAAGAAATGCCCCTGCATCCAGTAGAAATAAAAAGAGTGCGTGTTGTTGTCGCCTAGAGACGAAAAGTGTCTACGACTCGAAAAAATAGCCACGGTAGAAAAACATATCCAAGTCGTGCGAATATCATGTCCTTTGCGCCCATTGTCCCAAACACAACCTTATCAATTAGCTACGTTTTCATGCCTCGCTCGGCCTGTATCTTCCCGAGACTTCCTCTCTCGCAAGTCTTTAAGCAAACCGCTGGGCTTGCTTCGGCTGTCGCAGGGGAAGCTGCCTGTCAAGAGTATGGAACGCCTGTGTCCTTGGAGTAAACGGCGACTCGCGCACAGACACGGGTGATTTCATGCTCTGCATCTCCCAGGTACTGCGTTCCTTGGGATCAGAACTAGTCGACTCTCGATCTTCGTCGTCCTCGTCCACGTCGTTGATGGGATTAGGCCACATGGCATACAAGGCAAAGCCCAAGTTTAGGACATAGACAACGCTGCAAAATATGGTTAGGTTTCAGTGTGTTATTGAAGAGCTCGCAACTGTGGCCGCGGCAGACACACTTACAGCATGTAGAGAGTGATGAACAACGACCCCTGGGCAACCTGGCAAGCTCTGTACTTGCCATACCTCTGGGCAAGCCCGCATCCCTGCCGAAAGTACCACGCTGCCGGCGAAGGATATCGCGCATCAGCGTAATCTGGTCCAATCTGACCGTATGTGCTGACAGTGTAAAGTGCAACAAGAGCTGAGTTGATAAAAACCGCCACAATGGGGTACCATAGCTTCATTATGTGCGAAATGAGCTTCGAAAGGAGGAAGAAGAGTGAAATGACAGAAATCGCGACATTGAAATCCGTAAGGCTGATGGGAAGATTTGACATGTTAGTTTTTTTTCTAACCTTGGCACATCTACTGGCCACGAGGGAATCCCGACACGTTACGTACGTTTGTGACCAAATGAGCGGAACCTTGGGCAGAGACCTGTAGTTGGCATATGCATACAGAATCATATTGGGGTTGGAGTTGAGCTTATTCTCGAATCCAATATGCCACATGTCTGTTCTGTACATGTCTGGCTGCGCAATGCCGAAAATGACGAGTATCGGCACCAGGCCAATGAGCTCAATAGGCATGAGCCATGATGTAGCTTTTCTAGCCACTCTGGGCCATGCTCGGCGTAAAAATTGATATGAGTGCGACTTTGGCAACGTGAGCACGGTTGGCTTCATTCTGGATCATACAGTATGTCGACCTCTTTCGTGTCCGAGAGTTTGATCTTTTGAAGTTTTTTTCGGCGTGAGAATTCAAACTAGAGGGGTCTCGGGTACGCTTCCTGAGCGGGTTATATCGGTGTTGGTGCGAAAAAGTCCAGTGGAACTGAGCAACTGCGAGCCGGCCGCATCCGCAGGACGAGGTGGTCAACGTTTTGTTTCGATTTGTTTCGTCTCTTCCTTTTGTCTTGTTTGCCGTTGTCAAGAAGGCATTGAACAGCTCAGAGCCTCTCTACGCCAACGACCCAGCAATCAGACCGGGCGTCAACCCGTTTAAAGGCCTCGGGCCTTCTCCCTGACCACCCTCAAGAGACACTCTAGCGACCAGCCAGGGACCCGGCGAGAGATGTTGGTGATTTGATGGTGAGCTCCCGTGCGAGGAGCCATGCACCCAGTATCACATCTACCGTGGCCAATGAAGTGGCGCAAGCCCAGGGGTCTCTAAGCGCCCGCAACTGCATGCCGTTGATGATGGGCCCTGTGATGCGTGCGTCAGCCAATGGGGTGTCGGGATATGCCGCCGACACAGATGCAGGTGTGCTGGCTCGTGAGGGGTTCCAATGTCTGTGGTTGGTAGAAGGCACATGTCGAGGATATGTTGGGCCATCTCGGCGGCAGAATGCTCTTTATCGTTGGACGAGTCGATTCGAGTGCCTCGTCACATCGTCTGATTAATGCGGCGACGTGCAGAACAAAATTGTGATCTGGCATCTATTTGGTGTCTTCCAGTCTCGCATGGATGGAAAAGGGCAATCTATATTCGGCTGGTCCTGCCGACAGGTGAAAAAGTGGGGGTGAAAGATGTCACGAAATACACAGGAATTACCAGAACACCACCACTAGGCCAAAAGTGAAGCTCCACTAATGAGGGTGGATTATCTTGGATATACTCCGTAGTAGTACTCCGTGCGTGCGACACGAAAGAGTGGCGGGTTTGAACCACCTGGCGATACATCGGGAGCCAACCACTCGTATGAGTGGCTCGACTGCAATGAGAAATGCAGAACGATGCGACCCGGTCAATTCGTAACAAAGAAGCCGGCGTATTGACACTTTGGCTAAGATGAAAGGACAGTCACGGAGGCCAATCTGTGGAGGCGAACTCCCAAGGCCAGAGTTGGCACGAACTGGAAATTGCTAGATGCCTGCCAAGGCTGCCAAGTGCCCCGTACGGAGTACTCCGTACACAGTCCAGATTGGCACCCATAGAAGTGTATGAACCAAGGCCGGGATGTAAGAAGGCACACGTCTGCAGTCGGATTTGGTATACTTTGTCCATGGTGCATTTTCCTAATACAGTTGTCAAGAAACATGGACTTTCTGTTTATTTACCTATCTAGGTATTATACTCCGCATCTTCGATACTGCTCAACCATCCTAAGCTCGATAAAGCTGCTTTACCAAAAGCCATCGTCATACTCGGCACGATTGCATCGTTTTCCCGCTGGCTTCTCCATGGCTCCCCAGCCCTTCTTTGTCAGGCGCGCATGAAGCGTTATCGCAGAAGCAATGTCATGGCACGGTATGTCTGCCACCACACGACTCGGTGGCTGCAACTCCTGAGCGGTGTCTGGCATACCGCCGTCAAACCTTGACCTCAAAAATGAATCATTCCTTTTCCCTTGTTCATCTTGTTCCGCAACGCATCGAACGGCCCTGCGATAAACATCGAGATTGATGCAATTCCCGTACAAGCGTGTCCAAGCCTGGCTATCATTCAGGAGATCCGCTAGGGTCGGTAAGTTTACCAGCGAGTCCCAGTGTATTTTGTTGTCTCGTAACAGGTCCAACATCACCTGGCGTGTGTATATGAAGCCTTCGCTGTCAACCGTCGTAAAATTGTCGTAGGGTCGTACCGATATAGTTGATTGTAGCTTTATAATGCTCTTTGCAATTCGTGGCATTGGCGCGTCGTGGTTGAAGTCCTTCCCATTCCAATTGGGATACAGCGTATCCAGAGCCTGTTTCTTGTAGTCCTTGAGGTGGTCGTCCTCCTCGTCAAGCCATCTCTTCAAGGTGCAGCCGGCGCAGACTCTCTGGTGAGGCAGCGATTGTCTAGCAAAACCCGAATAGAACTCCTGCAACGTTTCATAGCCGCACGAGGAGCAGAACACTAGGTGCTCTGTCATTTTGCGCATGTAACCGTTCCGCCAGTCAGATTCCATGCGACGGCACAAGCCAAGTCGCACAGGCTTCAGAAGATCGTAAATCACCGTTGTCTTTGATCCTTCGTCCTTGGCCTCCATATACCGGTGAAGAGCGTCCAGGAATGTGGGAACAGCGAGGGGAGGGCCCGGAATTCGGCGAAGATACTCACAAAACGCCTTGTCCTTATCAAAAAGAAGGCCAAGATTCATCCTCTTTGCTTTCATGAAAGCCTTGAGGGTAATGTTGAAGAAGCCTCGCTGTACGATGTCCAGTCTATGCGGACCCCAGGTCAAGCCATAAGTGGCCGAATTGGGAGACTGGAAGGGTGTGCCATGGTTGTATCGAGGATAAAAATCGAGGGCCGTAATCTCAGGTAGTCCAGCTTCTCGCCGTTTACGATTTATCTCGTAGATTAGGTCTACGAGGCACAAAACATCACCGAAGTGAATGAGTGGGCAGTCGTAGATACCGACCATGCGTACATTTGAGCATTCTCGCAGAATGACAGCAATCATGCGTCGGTCCAAGAGAGGGATCTTTTCGAAGTACAAGACTTGCAGTGCAGCTTTTTGTTTGGACATGGAGTTCACTGTATGAACGTAAGAAGTCGGAATAACAAAGTTGACGGTGGGTAGGATAATCCTTACGCATTTTTTTCAACCGGTCTGCAGAAAACATCGCTGGTGGTTGGAATAACTGGCTTTGGAGGTTCGAGACGAACTGGCTGCTGCCCCATGTACCTCTAGGTTCTCGGATATGTCCAACGGCGGACACGATTTCATCGGCCATAAAATCCACCGGTACAATCTTCTGCCCTTCTTGATTCTGCCCGATTGCCTTGTTGCGGTCTGTAATGCGGCGGTGTATCAAATGCATTATGCTGTAAATCTCATCCTCGGCCGCCAGAGCCTCTCCACGCCAGCTGGAGAGACTGTTGGATGAGTCAAAGCCAAAGGGACCAGAGGCATCGGTAATGTTTAATTCTCCGATTGTACACTCTGGGGCGACAACAAGCATTACCCCGGAGCTGCCATCGGTTCTCAAACAGGCTGCATTGAAGTCCCAGATTTTCTGTTGTAACGGTTAATGAGATTCGTACTCTGCGAGCGTGAACTACTTACGGCACTATTTGCAACGGCCTGCCACGTGGTCGACGAAGTGATGGCGGTATTGAGCACCGACTTCCATCCCTGCTGAAATATAATGTTTGCGATTTCCCCACCAACATCGGCGGTGTTCAACATAGTAGCTAGCATGTTATCACCCGTATGGGCGGGTTTCTTTTCTGCACCAACATATTTAGACTCGTAGCGCAATAACAGCATCGCCTAATACAATGTTAGCACGATACAAGAATTCGGGCTGTAGCGTCTTACCGTAGTCAAGCATCGAGGAGCGGCAAAAGGGCTCTTGTAGAAGTCTCCCATTTTCCGGATGAATTCCTTGCGGGTCGGCCTTTTCAAGAGGGGCTCAACTCTAGCAAGCCATGCTTTTTCAACCTCCTCTGGTGTTTTAGACGTCACTGAGGGGTGGAAGCCCTCTTCCCGAAGTCTCTGTTGAGATTTCTCCATGTCGTATTTGGCCAGGACCATCTTGCGTTGGTGTTCTCTGTGTGAGATGAGGCTCGATAGCAGCAGTATGTCAAGACCCGAATGAAGGCAAACAGGAAGAAAAGTTTTAGAAAAAAGGAAATGAAAAAAAAAAATAAAACCTCCCTATTGATACAGTTGCGTGTTGTACTGTCGTAAGTCTTACTTTCCCCGGAATTTGGCGGCGTGTTACTACTTGCTCGAGCAAGTACCTAAGAAGAGGTTAAGAGGAGAAAGGTCCCGTGGCTGTTGCTCCTTGAAATTTAGCGAGGTGTTGTTACTTGCTTGAGCATCTATCTAAGAAGAGGTTAAGAGGAGAAAGTTCCCGTGGCTGTTGCTCCCTGAAATTAGCGAGGTGTTAATACTTGCTTGAGCAAGTATTTAAAAAGAGGCTAAGAAGAGAAAGGTCCTGTGGCTGTTGCTCCCTGAAATTTAGCGAGGTGTCACTACTTGCTCGAGCAAGTATCTAAGAAGAGGCCAAGAGGAAAAAGGCCCCGTGGCTGTGGGGAAATCCACCTACATATCCATAGGTAGGTAATGGTCAATCTCAGCTCTTGCCTTGGATAAGGAGCCGAATACATCACCCAGTCCGACTTGATGTAAGAAAGAGCCACGCGGGATTGAACTTGTGAATGATACAGAGGACGGCCCTTTTTTCGCGCCTTTCCGTGGCTCAGCCATGTAATCGAGGCTAGGGTCAAGAGTCATGATTGAGGTGTTGTGACGCGAGATGCTTGTGTATATGCAGGTGATATTCTCGCTGGCCTGGTATGACGTCGTTTTCCTAGCAACCAATCACCCAAACGGCAGTCGCCCTACCATACGGGTACGGAGTAACGAATCACCGAAACCAGTCGAAGTGATAGTCGTTTTGTCGCGTTTGGTATTATTCTCGTCTGGCCCTCCACTCTGAAGCATCTGGAGTGGTGGGTAAGGTTGTGTGTGTGGCGGGGCAATTTGGGTGCTCTTGATGGTGTGTTTGACAAGTTTCGACAAAAGACCCCAGGTCGTGTGCCACCTTTGTTAGCTAGAGAGGCAAATGGTGGTTGAACTTTGTGGTAAAATAGTTCCAGAGCATTGACAAGAAAACTACATTTTCAATTTTCAAAAAAGCTTAAATAATTAATAATAAATCTAATAAAATACTTGAATTATAATAATAAATACATAAATTAACTAATATTATAACCAATTAGCTCACATAAAAAAGTGGGTCCTTCTAGCTTATTATAAGCTTAAAAACTAGATTAACTTATAATTCTATAAGTATTTTATTAGATTTAATATAATTTTTTATATTCGAAACTATAAAAACTACAAAACTACAAAACTACACTACTTCTAATGCTCTGAATAGTTCCTTGAATTTTGTCGTATATGTGCTTGTTAATTTCGCTGGGAAACGTTACCTGCTATCATTTACTTATGCTAATAATATTAGTTTAAAAGCATCTTTTATAGCTTAAACTGCCTCTAATATTAACATATGCTTTCTTAAGTTGATGTGGACCATTTCCATGCACGAGTCCAGCCGTTTATGCAGGCCGGCAATGGATTGTGGTGCCCCGTGACATGAGTCACATGACAAACTGTAGTATCGTCGGTTCATCCCCAGCACCTCGACACCAAGCCCAAAAAGGTCAAAATATTGGTAATATTCCTGGAGGGAATGTCTTTTGTATCCTTGCTTATTCACATTAATAAGCCTCGCCCGCTGTACTTGGCTGATAGCGCACCAGTTTCTTGCCATGTAAAGCGTCCTATCCCTTTAAGTGCGCTAACGCACCACTTTTATAACGGAACCACTTTTTCTGTGGGATTTAATAGGTAATTTTTTTAATAATAAGATTAAATTTTTATTAACTTGTTTAAAAAAAAAACCAAAATAAAAACGGGCTAAATAGAGAGAGGGCTTGGTGTGTCGCTTCACGGGACCGGGCGCTATCTATGTGCAGACGCGGAATATGGACGAGTTTGACTCGTACATAAGCTCCCGTAGCAGCTCTTAGTTGAATCCCACCAAGAAGGGAAGACTCCGGCTTCGTGATATCTGGATTCAAACACAACAGAGCCTTTTCTTCCAGGGGCATCCTTTGAGCCATCTGCTCTGGAAAAATACTGCCGCGCAAATCATGCCTTACCATGACGATATAGCTCAATCCATCTTAAGCAAGCACTTCCCCAAATACACATGTTAAGTTAATAAAAAAAATGAGGCAGATGATCATGCAAGACATGCAGTAACACTATATTTTAGCCGTACCTAGGCCAGGGAACCGTAACTAACCACGCAAATAATATAATATTATAGTTTTTTTTTTTAAATAAGTTAATAATAGTTATAGTTTATTTTTATCTTAAAGGGGACTTATAAGACGTATAAGAGATCACGTGCGAGACGGGGCTAAAACGGGTTCGCTGTTACCCTAGAATAAAATACGACGCAAGTGGCACCTTAGCGCACTTAAAGGGATATAAGCGCAGTTCTGGTGCCTTGTATAATCGTGGTCCGGCGGTAACCTGAACCAAGGGATGCATGTCGCATGAGACGCTCTGTACGTCCGCAAACCAAGGCACCAGATACGTGATGAGTGGAAGCCCGAAGGGGTCGACGTAATAAATGGCAGCGGCATGCGCGCCAACTGTCTCTGAGAGAGAAGCATTGGGATGTGTGTCCCCATGACACGGCTGTGTCTAAGCGCCAGCCGATACGTAGTAGTTATCGCCCCGTCTTTTTGGTATTTGGGTTCCGCCGGGTCGCACGTAAATGAAATAGCACACTGGTTGCACTAAACAAGTCGAGTCACATGGGCTCTAGCGACAGACAATGCGAGTGGGCTTGGCCATCTGGTTGTTGTCCTGCAATCTGGGCTTCACGTCTGAAGCGGGTGGTGTGAGCAGGCAAAGCATGTCGTCACTGGCTCATTGCTTGTAGCCAAAGAAAGCGCCTCAACCACCCGTTGAACAGCACTGTTTCTCCGGTGTTATCCAATCCTCTGAATCGAAGCCGATAGATATGAGCTCTGCTAATATTCCGACCAAGGCAGACAGAGGAACGTCATTCCATGCAGATATGAGCCCACCGTCATCGGGAATACTAACAGAAGCCGGGAACCACTATCATGTTGCTACAAAAGGTGGAGCAGAGCATTGCGCAATATGGCACTTGACAGACCGATGGTCGACTTGTTGCCAACGCATTATACCTCTGTAACATGTCGGCAAGTGTGTGGCGCCTTGTCGACGATGCCAGGGAGCTCTGCAGGCCAGGAACGGCTTGGTGGGCACCAAAAGATGGTCGGTCGGTACTTGAGTGGATGCCAAGGTGGTTGACTGAAGCGCCAGTGCTGTGGGATTCCATAATTGGCCACCGCGGCAACATACATGGCTGCATGAGAAAATACTATGAGAAGACCTAATGCATCAGTGGGAGTGGTTTGAGTGGGTACGACCACCATCTCGTGTTTGCAGGTGTGGATATGACGTTCCCGCTGCAGCATGACCCGTGACAAGTTTGATGAGCATCAACGTCGGGCGACGCACGTCTTCAGCCGTCCAACTGAGGTGCTGTCCTACCACGAATGAGGCGGCAAACGGGAGGACTCATTAATGCTTTACGGTCCCTCCTGACAACCGTTTCAACACGAGGGGAAGCCAAGTGATACTAGTGCTGAATGGCGGCCTCGTTGGCATTTCCCCTGGATCGCGTAATCGTAAAAATTTCTTTCCTTTTTTGACGGTCCTAATAGAACTTAAATGGATGATCCACAAGGGACAGCCGGGTTAAATTCGATGGGCCATTTCTGCGGCTTGTTGCCAGGACGTGGAGTCAGGGGTCCCTGCACGCTAGATTGTAAGGGCAGATGGCCTTGACAAAAAAATACCGGCAAGATGGTCCTTCGTACGCAGAAGTATCTTGTATGGAACACAAGGTGCCGTTGGCTGTTGTGAGCCTGGCTGAGAACCGAGGAGCGCTACTCTGTTTTCAAAAGACGTGTTGCTAATGCCCCGGCAGCGAAAGATTTGTGCCTTGGCAAAGGAGTGTAATGAAGTTACGTAGGTTTGACGAGTGGCTCCAACAAAGCAATTCATTGAATCAGCGTTTTGGCACAGCATGGCGGTCAGCGCCAAATCTCCGGGCAGAGTGGTTCAGTTGGGCAAAAGCCATCTCGAGGCCGTTCGCCCTTGACCCGGCTTGGTGTTTCATGGCAAGGGGGGTTGTGTGTGAATGTTGCAACGTTGGTGAGAAGGGTCGATGTCTGGAACCGGCAGCTGATCCTTAGGCCTGTTGTACGGCGTATTGAATGGCCAGAGGCGCTGTTAGAATGGCGCTGTTGTGATACGGAGTAGATTGAAAGCTCCGCTCTGCTCTGTTCTGCTCTGGGCCACAGGAGTGGTTCGGCTCAGAGGCTCAGAGGCCTAGAACCCTGGTGTCGGTCAACCTGATATCCAAGACTATTCATGATGGTGGCGGACATATTTTTTTTTTTGCTTCGTCGGCGGCCTAGAAGAAACGCCGTGTTGCGATGTTGCGTCTTGTCCTCACGGTAAGTCAGCGCATCCGGCCCAAGTTCGATATGTGAAGAGAAAATGTAACCACTTGCGAGATGGGCATCCATTTTTGGCTGGTGACTGTTCCATCGCTTTCTCAGAAACGCCAATTGCCTGGTTGTCGACTGGTGGTGCAGCATTTTTGACCACCTGAACTGGGAACTGGTGGTCTAGCGCAGGTGCGTCGATGGACCCGCAATTCCGTCCCACTTCGCTTAAAGCACGGGGCGGGCACAGGGACCTGACACCCTGACAGCCTAATAACACGATGGCAAGGTACAGAGCCCTTCGCCATGCACGATACTAATACATGCCTAGGTACATTGTACTAACTAATACTAGGCACTTTGCACACCGGCCGCGGGTACACTCCGTTCGGACCAAAGTCAAGCTCAAGATTCTGGGCTACTGAAGCTTGGCACTTGAGCTTTGTTGGAAGGGATGGACCTGATGGGCCTGATGGGGCCAATGCACCTGGCACGTCGAACGAGAGAGAGCAAATGGACTGATGAGCGAGCAGTTGGACGGGGAACCCTGAGTTGACCATGTAAAAGAGAAATTTGGCACCAAAAACAACATTACACATGCTCAAACGGGCGGGGGTTCCAAGGTCCAATTCAAGGGCAGGCAAGAGCATCCGCATGCCGACACGACGCAGCACTCGAGGCTATTTCGTACGCCAGGAACGAGACGAGAAGCAATTCAACTGCAGTACGGTAAGGAACACTCCGTACTCGGTACTCCCGTGCCATTATTGTGCTCCGTACGGAGTAGCTGGAATGGAAAAAAAAGGGGGGGGAGGGGGTTGAGAGCCTGCAGTTCAAAAACGTGCGCCGTGCGTCCACTACAGGCACTCTGCAGACAATGTCAGTGTCAGTGTCCTTGCGGAGCATGCGTGCGCCTGTTCGGATACGGAAGCCCTTTGTGCAGCCGGTATTATTAGTACTCCATCCTCCGGGAAGCAGTGTTTGCTTGATTGACATGGCTTGCCTTGCCTCGCCCTAGTTTAGCCAAAGGCTGACCAAGATGAGCCGCTGGAGTTGCAACAGAAATTTGGTGCACACCCCGACGCTTGTAATAGGATGACATGTTGTCGATTCGCATTGTGAGAATGGCATCAAGTCCATCAGGCACGTATTGGCTAATTACCAGGGACTGCCAGGTTCATTGCTACGTCCGTTGTTGAACGTATAGGAGCAAGGCCTTCCTACTCCGTACTCCGTATTGTATTGTATACAATAGTTATATTGCGAGTGGGGAGGAGCCGAAATCAGGTACTCAAACGTATTTGCATCGTCGGCCGCAATGCCCGGCGACAGAAGGTTGCAAGCGCTGGAGATGGCAGAAATGGATTGCTGGAAGTCCAATACGTCGTAAGCCGCAGGGCACAGTGAATTGCTTTGCTTGAGAATCGGTACTCCGTACGGAGTAATGAAGCGCGAATCCCTTGATGATAAGCCAGCCGGCTCTGGGGTGAAGCAACGCCCATGGCCCGTGTCTGACCGCCTTATCACTGTCACTCCGTATTCTGGGCTCCTTGCAAATGGAAATATATCTGCCCATGGTTACCGAGTTAGCCCTGGTCGGGTGGATTGGATGTGCATTGGACTGGCTGTCTGAGCGGATGGTGAGTGGCGGATGGCGACGAATGGCGGATGGATGGTTGAATGAAGCTGATCAGCCATGGGCCGCCATGGGCCAACCATGATCCCAAATCAAGCGTCACGCCAATATCAGTGTGGTTCGCCCCTCGATCATCGCCCCCCGAACTGCTTGAACAGAGGCTTGACTGGGGCCTCTTGTCATTTCGCCTTTGTATCAAATCCTCAAGTCGAACGTCGACGCCACTGGATGTGCATGAACGGGCAGGCAGGCACCCAAGGCGGTAAATATTTGAACAATGAAGCACTGACAATAAATACGACTAGATTGGTAGAGTGTACGTTGTACTGGTGCCTCGAATGACCGCTGGGAAACCTTTGCAAGTATGTGTCGTTTGTGTCGGTGCTCTGGAGGAGCTCTTGAGATGTTGCGCCCGGGAAGCATCGGTTCCACTTGTTTCTTTTTTATTGTTCTCACCCTCGCCGTGCACTGAGCAAAACCAGGACCCCCTTCAACCCACCTTTTCGCGTCTCTCACGTTAATTCAGCCCTCTCGGCACTCTTTTGCGCACGCCCCCTTCCCTTCACGGTTGACTCCTCGATCTCCGTTGACCTGACTTTCTCGACCAAATAAGTACCCCAACCTGTCCTTCGTCCGACATTTGCCCTTTTTCTTTCTCTTTCTCCTACCACATCTCAGCTTGTACTCCATCAACTGTTGGACTCCAAAAGCCGCTTTCTGGATCCATTTTCCTTTTATACCATCTCGTCTTTGTTGTGATACCCACCCATTTGAGATACCCCCTTTTTTTTTTAATCATCCAGAATGGCCGAGGAACAGAAGCCCGTTGTCGAGCTCCCCAAGGAGGAGACCGCTCCCGCCACTGCTACTGAAGCCTCCGAGGCTGCTCCCGCTGCTGCTGTCGAGGATAAGCCCGCCGAAGAAGCTAAGCCTGCGGAAGAGACGGCGGTCAAGACAGAAGACAAGCCCGCTGAGGAGGTTAAGCCTGTTGAGGAAGGATACCTGGGACACAAGGCCCAGGGTGCTAGCTTCCCGAAGTAAGTTGCAGAGTTCGCCTGAAGCTCTATATGAGTCAGCTTAGGCAGACAGCCCGTTCTAACATGGTTTAGAAACCTCATTCCAAGCAAGGAGTTTTTCTTCTTTGGTTCTGACTCTTTCGAGCCCAAGGCCCTTTCTTCCTATTTGAAGGGTGAGAAGAACATCGAGCACGCCCGCCACAACATTTCATGGGCTTCCCACACCGGTAAAGGTCTCTTGTTCATTGGTGATAAGAAGGCTCCAACCAACGTCATCAACTTGGTATGTGGTTTAGTCAAACGATGAGACGCGGCGAATTCTAACCCGAGGACCAGGCCGACACCACTGAACCTGAAACTGATGGCTCCAACAAATTCCACCTCACTCACAAGGGTAATAAGCACAGCTTCAAAGCTGTCACTACGGCCGAGCGTGACAATTGGGTTGCTCAACTCAAAGCCAAGATCGCCGAGGCTAAGGAGCTAGCTGCTTCTGTCACCGCATCCGAGGCTTACAAGAACTCGCTTGAGAGCTTTCAGCTCAAGGCCGCTGCTCCCAAGGAGGAAAAGCCTGAAGAAGGAGCCAAGACAGAGGAAGCTGCCAAGCCCGAAGAAGCTTCCCCCGCTGAGGGCGAGGCTGCTGCCGCCACCGAGGCTAAGCCTGCGGAGGAGCCCAAGCGTCGCTCTGCAAGCCGCAAGCGCGCTTCCATCTTTGGATTTGGGAAGAAGGAATTGACAAAGGAGAAGAAGGAGGAGTCTAAGGCTGAGGAGGCTGTTGCCCCTGAGGCTGCTGAGACCGCCGCTGAGGCCGATGCTCCTAAGACGGAGGAACCGCCAGTTGAGGGCGAGGCCGCTGCTGCTGTCGAGGAGAAGCCAACTATTTCCAAACGCAACAGCATCTTTGGCAACGTATTCGGCAAGAAAGAGAAGAAGACCGCCGACAAGCCCGCCGAGGGTGCTGCTCATGAGGACGGCGAGGCCACCGCTGATACCGCCGCTCCAGTGATTCCTCCTGTGGCATCTAACGCTCCTCTTTTCCAAGAGTCTAACGCTGCTGTTGAAAGCACAGAGGCTGCCGCTACCAACGGTGCCGAGACTGCCAAGAAGGATATCAAGGAGAAGCGCAAGTCTTCTCTTCCTTTCAATTTTGGCAAGCGTGAGAAGTCTCCTTCGCCTGTCGAGGGTGAGGAGAAGGCTGAGAAGAGCGGCATGAGTGCTTTCTCCAAGCTCCGCGCCACTATCAAGGGCAAGTCCGGTGCTAAGACTGAGGAGAAGCCTGCCGAGGAGGCGGTCAAGGAGGAGGTCGCTACTGCTGAGGCTGCGGCTACGACTGAAGAGCCCGCCGCCGCTGCCGCTGCTGAGCCCGCCAAGGCTGCTGAGACCGAAGCGGAGAGTAAACCTGAGAATGTCGCTACTGCCACCCCCGCTGTCACTGCTGCCGCCTAGAGGGCACGCGAACGTGATGGTTATGACTTGAAGAAACCTTGAAGGAAATGACCAAAAAGACTTTTCTCTTATGAAAGGGTGGGAATGGAAGGTTTCCGCATTTCTTCACAAGATACCAAAGATACCCTGTCAAGACTGCTTTCGTTGATACCACTTTCCATATTGTTTGTTTTATTGTCTATGGACAAATCTGACGATGGTTTCGTCCAAAAAAAGGAGAAAAACATGACTTTTAAGGCTCTAACTCAGTAGTATACTGCATTCGCTGTTTCGTTCGATACCCGGAGAGGAGAGATGGTAATAACTAATAATACAACTGTTGCATGTTGATTTGTGTATACTTTAGTCCTGATGCCCGAGTGAATCGGTCTCGCATTTAAAGTACCAAGGTTGATGCCTGCGGTCATTGCCTTACCACAATAATCCAGGTATTCACGATCAGTCGGTGCCTATAAACATCTGTCAAGACTAAACAAAACCTCTTTTAGGTTTACATTCTAGCCTTGCAACATGGTCGTGATTGTATTATGTAGATTCACGTCAAATATTTAGTACTGGAGCGCTCCTTGGGACTCTTTCTACTCGTAGCTGGTAACTTACACAATTTGCAAGCACACTTGCTATATCTGTATCCGAGCAATCAACACCCCCAGCTTGAATGGCTACGTACATGAACATCACAAATGTGGCTAGGTGCTTAGGGTCAAATGGGGGATATATTCAGTTCGTCAAACGATGCATGCATATGTATGTTGTCGTCCGTGAAATCGTATGCTTTTTGAACCGTCATTTCCCAAAAATCTCAAAAAAATTAACGCCAAAATCATGTTCGCCAACAATGCAAGCCTGCCCGTGTATATGCAATGGCCCGATCTCTCATCCATGTCCTTTATTCTATGTACTTGCCGTCGTGGCGAATATTGCCAGGTCCCTGAATCAAAAGGAAACCCCAGCAAGAAACTCATGCACCCCGGTTTTAAGGTATGGTGGGAAGCTAATAAAAATGACAGAAATGTTGACTGCTTCGTTTGCCTTGGCCCATATGAATTTGCAGCGATGCCTCTCTAAAACCACATGGTCTAGATCGTGTTCATCGCTCTTATTCCCGTTGTTGATTGTCCGCTGAACATCTCGATGCTACTTTCGAGAAGTCGAAGGAAAGCAAATGTTATCCAGCAGTTTACTTGAAATAGGCCGAAATCCAGTCAAAAAAAAAAAAACATTCCAGGTCTAAATAATGCTTCGTAACAAGCCGGCAGCAATAGGAGAGTGGCAAAGTTCTGATATGCCGTGTTTTGTCGCTGGTTGGACCATGTATGAAACAGGATGAACCCACGGCTTCTCACTTTCTGCCACATCCATAAGCTGGCTTGCATATTCTGGCTCTAGTTATGCATCGCTGAACGAAAGATTCTTGTACTTGCTGACGAGCTCCTCGATCTTCGGGAGAAGCTCCGGGATGCGGAAAGGCTTAGATATAACGTCATCCTTTCCTTATTAGCATAAAAAATAAAGCCCGTCTTGAATTTTGATCGTAACTCACAATGCCCGCGGCTTTAGCGCTCTCAATTTGCTCAGGTCGTGCATACGCCGTAACCGCTATGATTGGAATATGCGTAACGATGGTGCCTTCTCTCTCTAATTCACGAATCTTCCTTGCACACGTCATTCCATCCATTACCGGCATTTCCAAATCCATAAGAATTACAGAAATGTCGACTCCGTCTTGTTCTTGTCCGGCCCAGAACCTGGACTTCTGGAGAGTCTGCAGGGCCTCAAAGCCATGATTTGCGACAAACGTATTATTTCCACAATGTCGCAATTGTCGTTGCAAGACTTTTTGATTTACGATATTGTCTTCGACAATAAGAACGTCAAAAGGGGTTCGGTTTCCCGAGGCGGAACTGCTTCGGGGGAGAGATCGATCGTTGACCTTTGGCGCAGTCTCTGGAACTGGTAAAAGTGAAGCAGGAGGAGGAACAATAGCCTTGCGTCCAATTTTGAATGGCGAGATGCGATCGTGCTTAGCGGGAGAATCGACACATTTTCGACATTGAATGTAGAAGTTGAACTTGCTGCCCACGCCTGCCTTTGACGAGACGCCGATCTGACCCCCTTGCATCTCGGTCAGTATCCTAGAAATGAAGAGTCCAAGTCCAGATCCACCATATTGAACGTGAGTTCGTGGTGACGCTTGCTGGAACCGCTGGAACAAGAGTTTCATTTCCTCTTCCGCCAAGCCTGGCCCAGTATCTTCCACAGAGCAGTGTATATGGATCACGTCGCCTGTACCCCATTCTGCTTTGTTTGTGATATCCATATTTGGAGCTCGTTGATTGTTAATTCGGCTGAAGTACGATACTCCAGTACTGGTGACCTCTGATATATCTCTAGATGCGCGAATATTTACAATTATACTGCGACGCTCACGGCCTTGTGTAAATTTAATTGCATTAGTCATGAGATTAATCAAGACCTGGTTTAATCTTGAAGGATCCAGTTTTGCCCACGTAACATCATGGCGTTCGAAGCTCTCATCAACATTGAATTCGAACTCGATGTCATGAGCGACCAATTCAGGCTCAAACATTTTCAGTGTTGACTGTACAAGTTTGATGGGTTGCACGTCCGCAGGAGCAACGGCCAGCAAGTTGGAATCCAGCTTCGAAAGGGTCAAAATGTCATCCACTATGCGCTTCTGATGACTCGCACAGAGATTGATGGTGTTGGCCGCATCTAAGCAGCCCTCTAGCAAATTTTCCAGCTCATTCTTGTCTTTATGTACCGTAAAAGCAGAAATGTTATTTGCAATTTGATCGGCACATTGGAGAATAGCCGACAATGGATTCCGCATTTCGTGACTCGTAATATCGATGAAGTTTTCTTGTTGTCTCTTCAGCTCCACGGCCTCTTCTCTCCGCTCGTTCTGAACCTTTTCTGCCCATTTCTGTGACGAGATGTCCGTAATACAGCCAAAAATAGACTTTAACGCTCCATCTGGTGTCTTCTCCGGGAAAGCACTCATCAATACCCATGTGTCGATTGTGTTGCAGCCACTTTGCTGTGAGCATTTAAATCGAAACTCGAGGGAAATGGTCACTTTTTCCTTAACTAGTTGAGACCATGCGGCTTCTAGAGCAGGTCTGTCTTCGTCTCGAACACTATTCATCCAACCGCTCTCGGCATCTTGCAAGCGGGTGTGCCTAGAGATCTGCCACCACATGTCGTTGCAATAGTTGATGGAGCCAACGGCATCAGCAATAAACATACCAACTGGGGCGAACTCAGCCATACGAGTGAATCGATACTCGCTTTCGTTTGCCTCTTGCGTTCTTTGAATCAACTGCATAGAAAGTTCTTGCCGGTCGATAGCTGCAAGGCGTGCTGCGCGTTGCCCTCGTTTAATTTCTTCCTCAAACAATACAACTGACGCCATGGATGTTGCGAGCTGTCTAGAGAGAAGATCCACAAAAAGTTTGTAGTCTTCGTCGTATGGCCGCCTAGGATTTGTTCCCATAACAATAAACCCGGCGATGGCCTCTTTTGTAGTGGTAGGTACAACAGGTAAGACAACAACTGTTGAGCATGGATCAGGAAAACCTCGGCATTGAAGCCCTTCGAGCAGATGTTTCGGCAGATTTCCTGCTCCTTCGGAAAGAACGACCGGCGCACCGCCCATCACCATACATTGGCGCATATAGGGGGCAAAGCCTTCATCAGATGATTTGAGATCCAAGGATGGTGGTGCAGCCACATGTCCATCAGGAACACCGGGGGACCCTTCTAATGCGAGTTGCGACGGCGGTAACAGACTGCCCGAGTGAAGCGAAGATACCTCGCTCTCATATTCCTCTCGCACCGAGTAGATGATGCTAAACGGTATGTCGAACTCATTATACTCTAAGCCGACCTGCACCTGGGGCCAAAACCCTGTCACAGTTGTGGCTGTGGCTACCCTTTCACCCATCTCGCGGAGCGTGAGCATGCGTCTCTCGTTGATTGTCCGACGTGTGTTTTCGAAACAAGGGTTATACAACCCAACCACTTCGCCATCATTGCCAATTAGCGGCACTATTGCCCAGGAAAAGAACGTTTCCTCGAGGAAGCCATCACGCTTAATGAACAACCGATTATCGTGTTTCATTGTCGATTGCCCGGACTTCCAAGCATTATCAAAGATTGGTTCAATTTCCTCCCAGATTTCAGACCATCCATCGGCATAATTCATTCCAATCAAATCCGGGTGCTTCTTCCCGGCCAAGGATATGTAGGCTTCATTGTATATTATCACCATATCCGACCCCCAGTACATGGCTGCAGGGTGTGGGCTAGCCATGATCAGACTAGACATGGTTCTAAGACCAGGTGGCCAGCAAGTCATGGGCCCGAGGGCAGTGGAGGCCCAATCTCGTGTTTTCGCAAATTTGATATGATCGGGAAGATTGTCATGCAGCGGTATCACAGTCCAGTCAAAGGACGGCTTGGTCGGTTGCACTTGTTGCAGAACCTGATTTGTGAATTCATCCGGATGATTCAAGGGTGCTGCGGCGTCATCTAGTTTTGTTTGGATAGCATCCATGAGTTGTTCATCTCCTTGAGCACCAGGAACAGCATCACCGAAGTAGTCTGGAGGGCCAACAGGGTCAACAGAGCCAACCTCAGGCGTGACAGGCATAGGTTGGGAGACAGCAGAAGGGCTCGTCAGAATGGGGACGGAATCGTTGGAAATCGTTGCGGCGGAACTCGGCTTAACAGTTGAGTGGCCAGCACGAGTGATATTCCCGCTGACGAAGCGAAATCGTTGGCGAATGGTGACATAAGTCCAATTAATACCGCCGTAAACGTGGAATATAGACGCTGGTTCCTGACTGGCTCGGCTGCTGGGTAACGATGTCGCCCAGGATGCAAAACACTCAAAATTGACCATGTCCATGGTTTCAGTAGGTTCCATACCGACAAGTTCAGCTACATCTCGCGATGAACATAGTGAGGCGTTGCCG